CTGTCCTCATAGTAAAGTTGAGTTTCACTCTAGGATCTCTTGGTAACTCAGTTGCCAGCTAATAAGATACATGGATTGACGGACAATGTTTCCCATTCTTCCAGTTTTTTTTTTTTTGCTAAGCTAAGCATGTCTAAGAGTGATCTTTATCTCTGACAGAGATGAAAAACACATTCATCATCTTCTTTATCTTGAGTTAACACAGCAAATACGCTAATTTCCCCAAATGTCTGACCATTTCTTTCAAGAACATTACTGTTGAACCTGGGTGCAAGTTGCCCCGAGAACTCGTAAACATCAATATTTTAGTTATTTCCGAAGAGCCGCACATATACCCAAAATCATTTCACGTACTTGCTTTGGCCAAAGCAAATAATAATTAGATATACATATATTGTTTTTTAGATTGTTTGTTATAACCAGCACAGAGAGCCCTGTGAATAGACAAGGTGTAAATCAATATACTCTCTTAAAGTTTGGACATCACAGTAAAGTATTAGTATAAATGTTCTCTTGCAGTAAAACTCAGACCATCTGGTGCAGAAAGTAGGTTAAAACAAAACAATCAAGCTAAAATTTGCTATTTTGAGGCAACTTCTGCAGTCACTGTGAGGCGAAGGAAGGCTAAGTATGCATGCAGGGACACACAGGACAGCATTAATTGGCTTCGATTATATGCACAGTGGCCAAGGAGTTTGTCAAAGGGGGAAGCAGCAAACCCAGGACAGCTTCACAGATTACCATTGGGAAAATAAGATATACAAAAAATATATATATATTTGTAATAATAATAATAATAGCTTTTAACCACGGACAAGGCAAAATCAAATATCGACTGACTCTTATTCATATTACATATACAATCAGGAGTATGGCAAAGTAGGAGTAATATACTGAGTAGCTGTAATGTTTTGTTAATGTATCCTTGATGCTTCCTCCTTCTGTAAACACCTCCACCATATACTGCCAAAAAAAACTGACTTATGGAGTCATTTCATCTGGTACTGTACCTCAAAATGGTTCTTAAAACAAGTGAAAAACTGTGTACTGAGTGTATTAGATGTTTTGACTCCCACAGAAGTCACATTTTAGACCTTGATAATAACTGAGTGATGTATACTTAAATCCCAGAGTCGGATGTTTCCGTAAGGCTGGATTCCAGATGAAATGACTCATCATAAAGAACATTATTTTTGCAGCGTGACTGCATAGCCTTGGTTAACACAAGTCAGACAACAGCCTATTAAGAACCACTTTAGAACCACAACAGCAGAACCTTTGTCAAATCTTATATGATTTATCATTACACATTATCATTCACAGGATAATACAAGTCCACACAAGTACATTCCTCCTTACATTTTTTGCAACATTTAAGATATTCTCCAGTTCAGTAGATGAAGTTTGAGATGTTTCAGTTTGTTCATTTTTGTTGATTTGTTGCCGTTTGAGTTCTCATGGCAGTAGCAACAAGAAATAAATACTCTTCAAAAGTCTCAAGATAAATCAAAGTCTAAAGGCTATTCATAAGTTGAGAAATAAAGAAGAGAAGAGAATTAAAAGACTGTAACAACGTATGATAAATATAAAATAAGATAGCTGCACTCGACATGCAAGGAGAGCACCACGTAAACACAATTCTTTCTCAAAAAAATAGCATTTGCGAGAACGTGCAAATGTTTCACGCCTCCCACTTCCTGTTTGATTCGCTGCTGGCCACGACAACTTCCTAATTCAAGCAGAGCCAAAAGCAGAACGCCAATGGAGAAGCAATGCGATGCAAAGCCAGGCCCCTTCAAAAAATAAAAGAAGAAATAAAAGAAGAAATAGAACAAAGAAAACTCCCCTGCAAAAATGGAGGGTAAAGAAGTTAAACAGGGAGGAATTAGCAAAAAGTTGGGAAGATGGTTTTCCTTTTCTTCCTCACACCTCTGTCAGGCCACTAGGTATCGCGATTAGAGGGAGGAGAACAGGAGGGGTGCTCCTCACCCCTGGTTCTCAGGGTAGCAGGGGGCAGTAATAAAGCACCTCATGCAGGATTTCAGTTGCCAGACGAATCTACTTCACCAGCCCCACTTTTGATATCCCAATTTCCTGCGGGAGAGAGAGAGAAAAACTAAATGAAAATGACAAATTGGGCTTCAGCTTGTATTTCAGCTCTGAAGCGCAAGAAACTACCTCCCCAAAATGATTGGATCTGGATTCACACCTGAACCAAGATGGCTGCCTACTTCTTCTTCTTCTCTTAAGAGTAGGTGCACGTTTGTAGCAAATCTCCTTCTGGAGAACGAGCCCGTCAAAGATCCTCGACTTTTATTGATGGAAACTGCCGACTTTATTTTGATAAACTTCATGGTTCACTTGCTCACATTGTTTGTTTGGCTCCAGTTTTAGATTATAGTGACAAACACAAAGATACGTTTTGGCAGCTGACGTACCCAGAGCCAACAGAAGAAGAATCAGATGAGGATCTTGCTCTGTGCACTGTAATCAATCCATAAATACATGCCTGGATCAGGTCCCGATCCCAATGCCGCAGATCGGCTCAGAACATGAAGCTGAACTGTAGTTTCTAAGTATTGCATGGCTCCAAGATACGATTGCAGAGCACAATGAGGAGTTTTTGACAGAAAAAGAATCGGTAAAGGACCAGGTTACCAATCCATAAACAAATGCCTGGATCGGGCTCGATCCTGATTTGGCAGATGGGCTCAGAACATCCTAAGCTGAAAAGTAAATTCTCGGATACTGTAGCTCTGACGCATGATTACACAACACATTGGGGAGTTTTTGACAGCCCGCATACCTAGGGCAAACAAACAGAAGAATCGGAAATGGACTGCGCTCCATATAGCTGCACCCAATCTATCAACAAATGTCTGGATCAGGCCCAAGTGATCTCTTGGTTTCTTCTTCTAGACATAGGCAGCTAATACGGTTTGTATACTGAGGCATGACTGCATATGTGATGCTTTGAAGCTTTGATCTCTTACCTGAGAGAGAGCTGTTGGACTTCTGCTTGTGGAGTTTCTCTCTCTCCTTCTTCACCTTGGGTATTATCTTCAGCTTTATGCTGCTGCTGCTCTTACTGCTGCCCTCACCGAGTCCTAAATAAAGGAAAACACACCAAAAGACAGTCTACATTTTGAGGCTGGTTGTCAGAAAGGGCAGATGGGCTGCTACTAGTATAACTGAGCAACAGCAATGACACCGTGACACCCGGGGGCCGGTTTCACACAGTTATTTTAGACTGGTCTACATTTTGCTCATAGACTAGTCTAATGCAAGGTTTCACAAAATTAAAGTCTGACCAAGTTTAGACCATAAAAATTAGACACCTTTTCAACAGGCTAACTTAGGCCTAAGATTCATTGTTACCTTGGTAACAATCAGTTACATTACAAACAGCCAAAAAAAGAGAAATGGCTCATGATTTATGGTTTGCTATGATTTCTCCATAATTTGACAATATTATGGAGAGAGCTACGAGAAGGGAAAGAGTTTTTAGGGACCGTAGTAACCTACTAGAAATATACAACAATGAGGACTTCCATCAGTCTGTTTCGTTTACCCGAGGTCTGACAGATGAATTACCTGAAGTACTTAGCGCCCTGCCTCCTCCCATTTTAGGATATTTCCTCTTAAATATTTCTTTTTTGGCTTGTACCATCTTTGTGGATCTCTTTTTGTTACTACACTCTCCGCTAAATTTTCCAAGTAAAATGTTCTTTTTTTTTTTATACATTATACTGCTTCAACAAACACATTTTCCCGCTGGGGTAAACTGCACTGAGGTTGGATGAGCCTACTCAATCCGCCATTTTTTTTGTTTTGAAAAGTGCCTCATTTTACCCAGAATGCATTGCAGTGTAGTCCTACATAAGTTAGTCAGGGTCTTTGTGCTGCTTTGTGCAACCAGTGCTTGAAGTGGGCCGGCGCCTCGACATTTTACTCTTTAGCGTACCGGGACTTCCTCCAAGCTACCGGTACTCTCCTCAGCCCTCTCCATATCAGGTTCTCTGTTCCCGTTCTCGCCTGCCTGCTAATCTCCGTCGGCGGAGAGAGACGAGGGAGGAGAGAAGCTCGGGGGCCTTTCAAGCAGCCGTGTGCTGAATGTAGCTCGTCAATGTCACTTGTCGTGAACCAACCAATCACAGCCTGGATGGGGCGGGACATTTAAAAGTATTGGCAGATAGGTGTCATTTACGCTGGGGACACTGGGGACGGGTCAGAATCAGAATCTCTCCATCACTTTTTGTTAAAAAGGTTCTGGAAAAACAGCTTGCAACAAGAAATGTTGAATAAGAAATGCACAACAGGAAAACATTATTATAGTCCATTATTTTTATTTTGGAGTACTGGCACCTATATTTTTCCCCACTTCAAGCACTGTGTGCAACGGTCTGATTTAGATGTCTATCTGAAGTCTGACTATCTACTATGTCTAAGCTGTAGTCAAAGTCTGTCTTTGTGAAACCGGCCTGCTGTTGGTTGTTAGACTGTGATAATATAATGGATTTTCTCTCACACACATAGTAACACAGATTGTATCGCCCACTCACCTCCTCGGAGCACTGCATGAGTGGACAGATCCAGTGGATGTCATCCAGCTTGTGGAGCTCGGCACTGAGGCTGTTCAGAGTTGACCGAAGCTCCTCTTCCTCTGGAGACTCTGACTGTGGTGGATGACGAGATGGGGTGTCAGTGTAAAATAGCTTGCCTGAAGACATTTTTCCTCCTACATCTGGAAATACTAAATGCTAGCATCTGCTCTGTTCTCCTACCATCTGAAGTTGATGTGGATTGTGACACCCTGCGTATATTATGCAAATTTCACAGATTTGTAAACGGTAAACACCTGTCAACCTGTAACTCTGTCAACAACTGGGGCGTATTGCAAATCCTTTCAAACTAAAAGTAATTAGAATATTATGCTAATGTATTATTTTTGCTGCTTTATTTACCTGTGTCTAATCATCACGGTTTCATTTAATATCATCTCTCTTGTTGCAAGTAAGTTTAGGGATGTTCATTCAGTGTCCGAGAATTGCTCAAGATGGAATCAGTGAAAGTTGAGCCCAATTAGGGAAGTTTCAAAACTGAGGATGATTTTTATTTTCTTTAAAGCAGCAGATAAGAACAGAACAGAGAGGAAGATGAATTTCCCCAGTATTGTTGCATGCATCACAGTTTGCACTGGTGCTGTCATTCTATTTGCTCTTCTGCACATAGGCCTATTGTGAACAGGGCAAATAAAGCTATAAAACAGAAACTGAACAAAGACAATAAACAGACGGCAGAAATTGAAATGTGAGACGCCAAGACTTCAGAAGAGACAGACAGCGAGAAGAGAGAATAGGGGGTTGGGAAACAAAGGAAATAACAGAGAGAAGAGATGGATGAAATTGCTGAGCTGTACCAGTAGTTTTCCATCAAGCAGCATGCTGGTCTCGGCCTGGAGAACTTTACTGCTGTTGACGATTTCCACCGCCGTGGTGCGACTTAGACACTGAAAATACAAATTAATAACTTCAGTTTCCATCATCAAAGGCCAAAGACGTCCATTAATAAAATGTGCAACACATAGCCTAAAGCGGAGGATACAGATGATATATTATTCAAGTCAGTGTGCAACATGAATATTTCAACAACTGTATGTTGTATATTTGTTTGCGTTTAATCTTTGCACTTCGAAATTTGATGGCTCATTTTACTATAACACGAAACTCTTCAAACATTCAGATGCATGAGGTTACAAAATGTAGTATTTGTGAAATGGTTTATGAACACGCAACCTGCAATACAAGCCTGGATTCTGCAGACTGTCCAGTTAAAGCAAAGATGGTTAAATAAGAAAGTCATATATAAAAAGTCATATATCAGTTAACTCATTTTCAAAAAAGGATTGTTCAATACTAGTTGAATATAAAGATGTTATGAAATGTTGTAAAATATCAATACGCAATGTGTGATTTTGCACGAATCAAAGTTCTGTATACTTCTTTATGTCCCATGTCCACTTTATTTATCTTTTTGCAATAAAGACTAAAGGAGGAAAAAAAAGATTCTGATTATTCCGACATCACATGAATGCACCATCATGCATTCTCACCTTTCCCTTTCCAAGCACGCAGGAGAAGCTACGGTGGCCGACACACTCAAATAACACGTGGTCCTCCATTTGTCCAAATATCTCTTCTTTTCTTATTCCTAATAAACCAAAGGACTACTACTAACGTTACTTGTTTTTCTTCTTCTCAGACGTATTCAACATAGTGACGTAACGCGCTCTGTACAATTGTTTGTCCTTTTGGGCTACTGTAGAAACATGGCAGCACAACATGGCAACGTCCACGTAAGAGGACCTGCAGTGTTTGTAGATACTCAATCTAAGGTAATAAAAACATACTGGTTCATTATGTAAGGTAGTTATGTATATAATATCGTATTCCTGTCAATAGATCCTCCTAAATATTACACACTGAACCTTTAAATTCATTCACTTATTATTATATTTTATCTGCATCTACTATATACACATACACAGTTTATGGCATCTCTATTTTATCTAATTCCAGGTCTTTTTATTTCACAACACTACTTTTCCCCTATGACCATTTATTTTAGTTCAAGGCCACTTTTCACCACTGCGTCCTAACCTGTCAATCAAGACAAATGGTCAGCAGGGCCAGAGACAGTTACGTGATTGGCGGTCCGCTTATTCAGACCAAAGCAGCAGCCAATCACATAACTGGCTTTGTGCTGATTTTTTTTAATATTGAACACTTCGGCGCTCCACAATATTGAAGGCGAAAGCCAGCTGTGTCCTTGAAGCGACATTACTGATGCATTTCTGGTTAATAGGCTTTAAAATTAACAGCCTGTAAATTAACATGAGACCCAAGCGTATTGACTGATAATCTGTATGCTTTCTCCATTTTTGTCAATCAAATCAGCCATATGTCCGTCCGTCTGTTCCCCCTCGGTGTCTTACCTCAGGGCTGGACAGTTTGGCCTCCGTGAGCACCAGGGCCGTGGCGTTGACAGCGTGAGCCAGCTCCTGCTCCACCAGCTTGTGGGTTTTGGCTGCCTCACGGATCCTGGGGAGGAGGAGATCACAGATTTGAAAGAGCTGTAATTACTATTTCGACAAGCTGGAATTAAGGCGATTATTCCAACAAGTTGTCTCAGCCTGTTGACGGGCCGTTTTTTTTCTCTCCACATCTCCCACCTTGGAGTTTAGTTTAGAAGATGTTTCGATTGAAAACTTCGCCATGAGTTTGACCAGTGAGCGACAAAAGTTCACAGCTGAAATGAGTCAACTGCCTTTGTTTCACTTGCTGTTTTCACCTCTGATCATCTCCACTTGGAGTCTTCATATGTTGGCAGTAGGTGGAAAATCACAGGCCTTTTTATTGTGCTCCCAAATTCTCCATTTCAAATCTCTTCCCCCCCCGAAATCCCCTGTATGACCATTTCTCAGCTTCAGAGATGAGTTTGCAAATGTAATTAAATAATTTATCATCCTGAAAGGCAATGACGGGTGATGATTGAGATCATCATAATAAACCAGACAAATGGAGAAGATCTCAGAGGCACACAAATGGTTTATAAGTGCAAAAAAGAGAAATAAAATAGCTCATCAGTGCAGCAGAGAAATAAGCAAATAAGCGAGCTAATTACAGTGGGATAAACAAATCCCAAAATGTAGGGGAAAATTCCCCCTTGCCCCCTTTATCTTTAACACAAAAACACTACACTGATGATAGTAGATAATGAAACAGGAAGGTTGCCGATTAGCTTGCTTTAATGTTTTATGTTTTTATTGTGTTTGTTTGTTTGCAATTTGCACAAATTTATCATCTTGCAAAGATCATGTGAATGGACCAAGTGTGTCTTTAATCATAGTCATCTCTGGTAGTGTTTTAAATATATTCCTGTAGTACTGTAAATTCTCAACCAGGCCTTAACATACCTGAAACTGAAACTTATACTTAGAGACAGAGTGTAGCCTGCACAATGAAAAAACCTTTCCAGGTACTGGCTCAAAAAACAAAAGGATTATTACAAAATACCCTTTGTCTTTCTATTGTCTGGCTCTTTTCTTCTACATTTTTTCCGAAGATAATTTGATTTTATTAGGTTTTAGTAAGACGTCTCCCCTTTTTCTGATCTGCTCCCATTATAATTCATTTGGGGGGGAAATTGATAAATTTAAGACAATGCACTGAACATTATAATACAATAAATATGTCATGTTGTACTTACTGTACCCCTCAGCTGCACTGAGGTTCTCTTTTTAATGGTCCAGTCAAAATGTCCTAGAAGTAGCATTTACTACAATATTCTTGCACACTAGAAGTCTCTAGAAGATTTGTTGGATCAAATACACTGTTTATTAATGACAATTTGGACCTCAGTGTTTTTTTCCGCAGTCAAAATGTCTTTGAGCAAGACTTTAAACCTCGACCTGCTTCCTGTACACGCCACAGAAATAGGGAAGTGCTTCTTACTTGGCGATGAGCGTGTCGGCCACGATGCCCAGCTGCTGCACCTGAGCGCACTCCTCCTCAGTCAGGTACTCCATGGACTGCTGAGAGTTAAGGCGGGGCCTGGTGTCGCGGTAGCTGTCGATCTTTCTCTTGTCCTCCCACGACTTCAGCGTGCTCTCGAACGCCTGGTTGCACAAAAAAAATGGCAAAAATTTAGGCACAAGTCGTGTACCGACTTTACTCACCGTTCAACACTACGACAAGCACATCATGTAAAGTTTTTTTCCCGTACATTTTAAAAGAAAAGTCTGCTTCAGTCGGTACCTGAAACATCAAAACTCATACTGAATTCAAGAGCCACCTGACACCTGATTTGAGGCGGTTCTTCGCGTATTGTGTCTGTGAATATTCAAGGTAAATCTGAATGAAGACACAAGAATAGGTAGAAGAGGCTCCAGTAAACACAGGTGCACTTTACCTCAAGTCTGGACTAAAATAAAACTGAGGCCACTGAGAGGAAAATAGGAAAGAAAAGGAAGAAAAAAAGTATCTGTGTGTTTTATTGCATCCAGGCATGAATTTAATTTATAAACCTGTCAATACTCAGGCCTCAACCAGGCACCAAGCAGAGATAATGCTCACCTGAAACATTACCATCACCATTTGACTGAAGAAAAGCTCCATTTAGGAGGATAAAACCAGACAGCCAACAGTCTTCTCCCTCTGCAGTACTTAAGGAGGGAAACCATGGAAACAAAGTGCCCAAATGTGCTTGGCTCAAGAGAGCCAGCCAAAGTTTGAGCAGCGTGAAGAGTGAATCCCGAAATAGACTCAGTCAACAACACGGGCAGACAGCTGAGAGTGGATTTTCGGCTCCAATGTTTATGAATGGAAGACTATTTAAAGTCAACACGGTTGTTTTTCATATGCATATAGCAGACACACACCTTTATACTGTAAAAATCAAACTAGGCTGTTTTTTAAAATTAAGTATAACGTAAAATCATGTGTAGATCTTCTATATTCCGACTACATTATACACCAGACGATTCATCTTTTAGTTGGACATTACTCTGTCTCTGGTGAGCATCTGCGCTCGGTTCTTATGGACGATCTTGACGATGCCAGGCGGCTGGATCCACGCCTCTCCGTCCACCTGCACGGGAACCCCCTCCTCCCCGAGGATGGTGATCCTCACCTGGCGGCACTGAGACACAACAGAGCAGAAACAGCGTCTGTCAGATGTTTGTTTTAAACCAGTTATTCCCAGCTTGACCTCATCTGTCCTTTGCTGTTGGACATTAAGCATTTCAATGTGATCATGGAAAACCTGAACCGTTAAAAGTTACATAAGTAGCACCAGCGTATTATATTACATGGAGTATTTGTAGTTGGTGTTGAATTGCCAGATGGGCCAAAGTTTTGTCTATTCTATTCCAAGTTGTCAAGTTATCTCCGCTCAGACATTCTGTTTTAACTCTAACTTTATCAATTTAAAGTAGCAAGACATAACTGAAATACGTTGTGTTTCTCATTCACTTCAGGTTTAGAAGATTAAAATAAACACCAGTACATGTAAATATATTCTTGTGCAAAGATGTACAGCTGCGAACCCTTGCGCAGCTACTCAAGGTTGTTCAAGACTGTTGTTCAGACAATCTAATTTAACATTGTAGTTATTTTTCAATCACTGATGAGAACGTTAGCTGAATATCTAATATCTAAAGACTAAGTCTGCAGCAGTGCTAGCATCTCTGTAGGCGTTGAGCTAAATGCTAATGCAGCATGCTAAAACATTTAGCACAAAACATAAAATACAAATGATCAGAATGTCATTAGTGTTGCAGGTATTTGGTCCTAAACCAAAGTACTGGCCAAGGTGACGGAACAATGTCAAAGGGTTTCACCACATCTGCTTTAATGAAAACCTTGACACTGTAACTGTGATTATAAAGGTGTGTCCATGATATTCAGGGATGTATGTTGTGTGCTACCTGTGCAATGCGGTGGTGCTGCAGGTTGATGACTCTGGACATGGCCATCTGCATGCTGCCAAACACCGCCACCACCTCCAACTTCTTATCGTCAAATGATGGAGCACCAAAGTTCTAAAAAATAGGAGATGAGAGCATTCTACTTTTAGATCTCTCAGTTCAAACTAACTGAATCAAAGAAAAGGGGATTTCCTGACTTGACTCACGATGCTACTTCTTTCACAACACTCACATTATCCTCCTTGGTGCCTCCCCAGAAGTTGATACCGCCTGCGTAGCTCGAGATATTGAGCACAGCTAAGCCCTGCAGACTTGGCAGAGACATGGGAACACCGTCACACTGAAGAGAGAGGGGAAGTTAGAAAGGGTGGGAAACACAGGAGGTTAGAGGGTAACAGCTGATTGCACTTTGTTTCCCAAAACATTCACCTTTCATCACTTTGTGTGTGTGTGTGTGTGTGTGTGTGTGTGTGTGTGTGTCTGACCTCCAGCTGAACTCTCTGCTCCAGGTTCTTGTACGTCTTCTGGACCAGCTCTTTAGTCCCCAGCACTCCGTACCACATCATGTTCTTGGTGCGACTGCTGTGAGAAGGAGACAGGAGGAAGAAAGTTGTTGGTGACAGAAAAAAGCCGTTCCCTATTCACGTTGTCCTAAATGTTACTAAACACAGAGACAAAGGACTCTCCCACATAGCGTGACAATCATACAGGTTTATGATATGGTCACCAGTTCTACCACCAAATATAATTTATCGTCTGAGAAAGACATCTCTACATACTAGAATACACATAAGGCGCCGTTGCCATGGAGCAGAAGTCAGAGACAACACCGCGTCTTAGTTGTCAAGTGAAAAATTTAATTTAGGTTTTAAAAAAAAAAAACTATCATTGCAGTTTTCACTTATTCCTACAATTTCAATACAAAAAAAGCCCCTAAACATCTCAACTTTCATCACAAAATCAGGCGTTTCAGGCCACAACAATCACTAAAAAAGCCTGCAAAATTCTGGAGGGACTGAACCGCAGCAACTGAAGTGAAAGTAGCAGCAGGTGAAGTCAGTAATAATAAGCAGAGGTAGTTAAATAATACTGGGATTAACCGTAATAGCAACAACAGAAGTATTGGCAGTAGCAGGAGTAAATATTTAAATAGTTCAATAGTGGCAAGGCTTAAATAATACTAGCAATGAGTATTAACAATATGTACAACGTGGGGGTGCCGTAACAGCATGATCCATTGTTTAAAGAGGTGGTATTATGCTCATTTTCAGGTTCAAAATCTTAATTAGGGGTTGTACCAGAACAGGTTTACATGGTTTAATATTCAAAAAACACCATATTTGTCTCATACTGCACATTGCTGCAGCTCCTCTTTTCACCCTATGTGTTGTTCGCTCCGCTCTTGAGCTACAGAGTGATGCAACTTACTTGTACAAAATCTTTGTTGGGAGTTGCACATGCGCACTTCCCAGGTAAGGACTACTAGCCAATCAGAAGCAGAGAAGGGCGTGTCGTAAGAAACAAGGTAGTGTGATCCAAATCAAAGCCGCTTCAGACTGAGACCGTAACCTAGCAGATGGTATAAGTTGCTCTCAAGTCCACAACCACACAACATCATTGTTCCACATCTTACCATCAAGACTAAACGTTGAACTGTTGCCGGTGTTCTGACGATCTCTGCTGCCTTGCTGAAAAATGCTACCAAAGCGCAAATCGATAGACTCGACTCTACTCGGCCCTGCTCCGTTTTCCATTGCAGACAGTATCCAGAGATAGTATGTAGCTTGTCGTCATAGCGACGCCACACACAACTGCTGCGACATAATGTTGAATGCGAGACACACACACCAGCGATCCACACAGCTTTCTCTTTTTTATGTTAAAACGTTTCAACATTACTCAGAATATAAAGACAGATAAGCGGTATGAAAACCTTCCAGCTGTGTTTTCCTCTGCCGTTGTTGAGAGCAGAGGGCTCTGTGAGCAGGCGGCTGGCCAGCCTCAATATTCAAGCACATTTTTTGTTCCGCCATCACTTCTCGTAAAACTGTCAATATTCAAAATCTACACAGCTGATTTCTCACCTCAAAACTTCTCAGAAGTGGATTTAGTGATGAAATTCCATACGAGAGAACTGTAAAACTTTCTGTTTCAGGCCTCTGTCTGGTGCACGTAATGATGATGCACTGAATAGTGAATATTCTCTCTGACCAATCAGCAGTCTGTCGTGTTTTCACGTTACATTTTAGTATCCCTCAGCTCTCTTGGAACCTCGATGGAGGTGAGGTGATACGAAAAAAAGTACCTGGAAGCAGGTGCAACATTTCTACAATGTAAACCAAACGAAGGCGAGTCGAGCCAAAGGGCCTCCGCTCAGACTAGCTTGGTTTGAAGGCGTGCCTGACCCGCTAGCCACTTGGCAAGCTTTATGATGCGTTTTCATTGTGACGTCACAAGTAAAGGAAGTGAAACGGCTGGACTACAAACAAGCCGTTTTCAAGCGGTTCAGAGCAGAGCTTTCTGTGGGAGATGGGAACTCCCTTTGGGCTTTTTCACTTTGCAAACCTGTTATATGCACAAAAAAGAGATATAAAGTAAAGGAGAGGGAAAAAGCCAAAAAGCATAATACCACCTCTTTAAGTGGCTTTAACAGTTGTGCATAATGTGAGATATGTGCAGTATTGTATGAGTGTATGACTTCCAACAAAGGAAAGTTAAAAGTATTTGCTAAATATATATAGGATACGTCTCACATTAAATCAATGCTGGGTGCTGTTCGGGTGAAGAAATTGAAAAAAACATTTTTATCAGATGTGACACTTCAATTAGTTGTTGGCAAAGAGAGTTGCTGAGGTACATAATTTAATCAAATGCTCTGTGAACAGATAATTAGTTTTCTGTGTGCGTTTGTGTTCATACCTGCATTTCTTTGGGTGCTCGTCTCTCTTGTTGTTGAACTCGAGGGAAATCTTGGCGTCCAGGCCGATGCCGAAGTAGTTGTTCATCACACACTTCTCTGAACATTGCCTACGAATACAGAAAAAGCGTCGATTGTTTATTAAAGGTTCAGTGTGTAATATTTCTGAGGATTTTTGACAGAAATGCTTTGTTTTCAGTTGTGTATAAAGACCTTACATAATGAACCATTGTGTTTTTATTACCTTAGAATGAGCCTTTTTTATCTACCTAAACGCGGAGATCTATGGAGGTCGCAGTATTGTGTCGTCATGTTTCTACAATAGCGGTTTGGCTTTTCCGGTTACGTTAGCGAGACAATCAGCTGATCAGTAATGATATGTTAGCTTACAGCATGGAAGCGATCAGCCAGCTAAACTTTTACTGCTCTGGTAGAAAACACATGTAGTTGGATGTATTTCGCTGTGCTTTGGCTTGTGGTGTAAAATATATAGTCTGATTAATTTCATGTGGTTACTCTCTCTCTCCAGCGCTCCAGGGGTGCAATTCGCAACTCTCACCACTGGATGCCACTAAAACTTACACACTGAACCTTTAAAATGCGGCGACATGCTCACACACAAGCACATTATTTAGCCACGGCTGGTATGTAGCAGATGAGAGCGCACAAAGACTTACACAGACTCCTCGCTGTAGGCGACAGTGTTGAGGCTCTCTGGTTTCTCAAGGACAATGGGGGAGGTGGGGCTTAAGCTTCCTTGGCCTGGACAGAGGAACAATTCAAAAATGTCCAATAGTAATGATCAAAGTTTCCTTGTAAAATTGGAATTATCAGTTGATCTTTAGACAATATAACACCAAAGTTGCAGGTTATTCTTCATGTGATGAGTCGTCCTCAAACTTTTCTGACTCAACGCAATAGTAAGACTTTTTAAAAATCTGATGTAGCTTTTCCAAAACGTATAAACAGCATTTCAGAGTATGTCCCTTCCCCTTGCAACCCTGCTGAGTTTAGACTAAAGGGACACTTACGCGGCTCAGCATCCTTCAGGTCCTCGCTGTTTTCTCTTTTGATGGAGGACGAGGATGACATCCTCTGGACCTGCGTGTGTCGGTTCTGCTCGTCCACCACTGAAATGACGACATTGCAACACACTCACGTTTGCACGTCAAGGCATGGCTGTGTCAAAAAGATACCTAAAGAAGAACATAATTTCTAGCTGTAATTCGAGAGGCCTTCTTCTTACCTTTCTCGGCCTGCTCGATGATCTGCCTCAGGGCTTTCTTCAGGCTGTTGGCCCTGAGCATCAGCTGCTCCTTGGACCGGTACGTTTTACCCTCTGAACCCGACTCGCCGCCACTTTCGCTGGGGCTGGAGCCGCCACTCTCCTGGCTGGGCACCGAACCAGCTGGCACCACCTGCATGTGGCAGGGAAAGAAAAGCAAACACACCCTCTTGCTGTTATAATACATCTGTAAAATGATATCTGCACCATCCTCGCATGTTCCTGTTCAGTGACCTTTTTGTTTAATCCCTGATGTTATCCAACTCCCATATGAGACTTCTTGAATTCTGAGAGCAGCATTAGCATATTATCACAATAACAGCAGAATTAAACCAGAAAATGGCTCCTCATTCATACATTTTTACAATTCATGCTCTGTGGAGCGTCACAGTGGCGCAACATCTTTCGTCTCCCTCTCGTTTCTGACAAAAGGGAGGCAGCGGCTCATTTACATGCAGAACTGAGGAATGTCCATATTTTATTTGTCAATTATGGAATCATGCTTGATACAAGGCTAAAATTTTTATTGAGCAAAAGGTTGAAAACATACTGACATTTTTGAGGGCTATTTCTCCTATAGCACCGATATCAATCTGCCAATATGATGACAAACTGTTCAAAACATTGAAATTTCTGACATTGTTAGAGGAGGTGCAACTACAAGCAAAAAGCTAAGATAAGAAAAATGTCACAGATTTACATGTCAAAAATCATTTTTGCCTCCTTTCCCAACTTGTTACTCATCTTGTCGCCCCTCAGGTTTATCCCATGACCACAGCTCAGTTCAACAGTAAATATAGATTAAGTGTTCTGGCAGATATCCATAAAGTGTCAAATCAGTGCAACTTTACATCATTTTATTGGCTGGTGTCCTTAAACAAGCAGGATTTGTGTTGTTAGTCACACTTTTTGCCACTTTTTCCAAATCTCATTTTGGTGTTGCTTGATATTTAGAACTTGTAATCAGGCTGTAAGACTACGCACTGCTTGCTATGACTATTTCATATCGATTATAACTGGCAGTGTTATTACCTGGGCCTCTGCTTCCTCACTTAAGGCCTTGACGAGGGAATCGAGCTTCTCGTTCAGCAATGCACACTGGGAGGAGAGAGAGAGAGACACACACAGAGAGACGGTGAGAAGGGGATGTTTATAGTTTAGTTTTATATGGCTCTTTTGCTCACTTCAAAATCATATGAGAGGAGTGTAAATTGGGAGATACGGTACAAATCAATGTTGGGCAGAAATGCAGCTGCAGCAACACCCGACAACAGCGTGAAATCAATACCTATACAGCGCATAGAGATCTTTTATTTGCAGAAACAATAGGCAAATTTCCCTCCGGGCAACAATAAAGCTTTATTTTCACTTTATTTGGAAAAAGACGGATAAGCGGGATGGAGCTCAAAGCGCTCTGACAAGAAGCTGGTGAAGGCTGGAGACGCCTCTGCTGGGTGAAAAGATTTTCTCTTTGTTTGGAAACAAATGTCTCATAAAAACCTTTTTTTTTTTTGGTGGCAAACCACTCTTGCTCTCAGCATGAGTTTATTTCACCTGCTGGTGACAGACAGCTACTGTTGATTATTTAAGGGACAAGGCCTTTGCCGTTGTCAATATTTTAAGGGCACAAAGACCAAATGCCAGGGCAGCAAAGCCATAATATTTTTATTCAATTTTTTTCTAATTTGTTAATGCTTGTCAATAATCATAACCATTCACCAGGAACGCTGGCTGTCAGTCACAGGGGGTGGTGACAGAAGGTCAGTCTATATAATGACTGGAGGTAGGGGAAGAAATTGATTCATATATTCATCAAGATGCGGACGGACGATTCTGAATCAATTCACAAATGTCAAAAATCGATTTGTTCCCCCTTAATGTTAATTCGGTGTTTCCTCTATATGCATTTGTGCGCCGCTGCTGAATCATGACCGCCGCTACTAAAATTTCCCACGATCATTACGCGCTACAAATGTTTTCACTTGCACGGACAACATTCAATGCTTGGCTCGCTTCTTGTCCTCGTTCTATACAGACCATCTACGTGACAGGTGGTGTTATAAGAACAGCGTAACTCCTGCGTAGCGAGTATTTGATTGTTCCGAGCGGCAGAAAGTGACGGTGGCCGCGAGCGGAGGAAAATATTCTGGCAGTAAATGTACGGTGTCGGTTACGGTGTGTCTGCTTCTTAAGACCAAGAAAAGTTTGTCTGTTGTTTTCCCACCTGCTGGAAAAGTAAAGCCTGTTGGCGCTAGCAAACACCACCCCTCCCCTTCAGACTGCGCAGCTGAGCAGGGAAGCTTATACAGTGTCCTAGGCTGCGTCTTCTGGCTGCTGTGTAACTGAACATTAGCGCAATTTATAGAAAGTCACTGGTAGCTGTATTTTATTACTGCCAACTAGTCCAATGTTGAGAACATCAGTTACAAACAGACTAAACTGGCGTAGCCTGCAGCTCTGTCCTGTACAGACTGATTCAATTATATGAGTGTGAGAAAGTGGTTGTTCGGAAAAGAAAGGACTGTGGAGGAGCTGAGGTTAGTAAAGCTAATTAGTGATGCAAACTAGTCCTTCTAAGCTAATGAGGAGACGTTTCTTTTGGATTTTAATGTGCAAATATGCAAATGCACCTCAGAAGGGAGGAGGTTTCTCAAGTTGCCCATTTTTTATATTAACGTCTACAGATAAATGTCAAAGGCTGTAAAATGAAGACACAAAAGGCAAACATGAACAGTTGTATCTATAATGATTCTGAGATCATATTAACAGGGTTTTCCTGCCGTTAAGGCTTAGGGGTGCCGTAAATGTAAAATCACTGTGGAGCATCAGAACCAACCAAATTACTTTCTCCAGATCTAAAGGTTGCAGTTCCTCCAGTAGACTGATCTTTGGTGAGTGCTCTAGCTTTTCCAACTATTTGTTCAGAGATATGGTGAAAATAATGGCCCAATATTATGTGAAAAAACATTTGACTAACACCAAAAAATTAAGCTCACATTCAATTATATGAACACACTGAAGTTTTAAGCTATTCTAATGTGCATCGCATGCTCATGGACACAAGAGCGATGTTGCTGAGACATGTTTTTGTGTTGTTTTATATTGAGACCAAAAAATTTTATATTGAGACAAAAATTTGGCTTCACCTCCACTGCTACAACTCCATCCTAGGGGAAAATGCAATTTATAACGCAATGGAAACCGGAAAGGATGGTGACCACGGTGGAGCTGAGGTTAGTAAAGCAAATTATGGATGCAAACTACTTTCAGCTAATGAAGAGATGTTTCTTTTAAATTTTAATGTGCAAAAAAAATGCTTGGTAACCAGCGTTTGGTTCCCGTTTGAACCGCGTTTTTTAAGTTCAATTAAGTTCAGTTAGCTATATTAGATTTACAGCGTTCGCTAGCTAGCTAACTATATTAGTCTTAAAGGCGTTGACAGCCCCCCGTAACCCTTCACCCTTACAGGGGTGTGTGCCTAAACCTAAGTCAGTGATTGTATGCATGTTGACCGGTGAACCCAACAGCTGTTAGCAGATCAGGTTCACCTTCTTTGTGTTGCTGCAGTATCCACATGTTTATGTCATGTGACGTAGGCCATGTGATGCGCTATTGTAGGATACACTCAGTCATATTTGGAGGTTTGTCAAAACAATGTTGTCGTTTAGGTTGGAGGACAGTTGCCCAATAATGATGTCACACTAAAGTGATATTCATGTCTTTTATATTAATTTGAACGGCCAGGATAACTTATATCCAATAGTTTTCTATAATTTGGGAACAGCAAGCAGACTTCAGATACCAGCACATTGTTTGTCAAAGCAGCCACAGCAGCTTGAGACAACGTCTGGATGAGAGAGAGATGCGACCCACGACCAGTTCATCACAGTTTATAACGCGGCGCAGTGAGAAGATAAGTGTAGCCTATATAATGCGCGTCTGTCTGTTTGTCAGAGACTCCAGTCTGCAGTGTAGTTCAGACACAACTGCAGAGGAACAATAGGCTTTATGATCAAAGAAAGTTTTCATATCACGTTGACTCTTCTGTCCATAAACACAGGCCTTAATGGCCTAACTGAAATTCCTGCCCTGATGTGACATATACGTGGCTACATACAATATGTACAACACTAAATCTCATGTACTAGTAAGTGTATATGGTTAATTTGATGAGGTCTATGATGTTTCACATTATGTACCGTAAGTCAGTGAGATGTAATGACGGCTGAGTTACCTGACCTGAAAATAACACTATATGACATGTAGTCGCTCTGCCATGAGCCTTTATATAAACAGAGTGAAAACTGAGCAAAAAAAAAAAAGGGTTTCAAAGGAGTTTTTTTTATTTCTTTTTTATGAAACGGCAGCATTTTAGCCAGAGGAGTGACTTTAACCTACTTTTTCAACTCTGTTACAAAACACATCCACACCTCTTTAACACTTATGTTCAGCCCTTCAGCTTCAATTGCTCTTTAAACTGGATTGTTATAATGCATCAAATAATAGAATAGATAGAAAATATGGACAACCAGAGGGAATGAAGAACCTTCAACACAACTATTTCTATTATACACACACATCAGCACTGCCCACTAGTTTCTGTTATACAAGCTCTTGCATAACACATTCAAAACACACACAAAACCATTTACCTTCTTGGCCATCGCATCTGCCTCCTCCTTGTTCTCTGTGGCTCTCTCGTACGCCTTCCCCACCTCCGCCACAAAATCATTCACCGTCCCACACAGAAACCTGGCGTGGAGGTGGAGGAGAGTGTGCACAATGAGGGAAGAGAGGGAAAGGAGAGGAGAGAGAGGGAGGATGAGGGTTAATGTGATTAATTATGATAATGTAACAAATTAGCAGGTGAACACGTTTCAGATTTGGTGATTCACGCGCGCACACGCTCCCGTTTCATCGCCGCCCACCTGCCTATCAGCTACGTTGCCTCCGCACAGTCACTATTTACTCACAGCTGTTACATTGCTGCTGTATGACTCAGCAGGGAGGTTTCTCCAAACTCACACTTTTTTTTAGCAAATATTGAACCCTGCAAAATTTATTTTGCTGTCCCGTTTCATCCTCGTGTACAGCTCAGTGGGTTTTATTTCCAAATGAGATATCTGGAAATTACAGATGTATGATAGAAAACTGACCTAACAAATTTATGGCAGTTTTTGTTGGAAAAGTGTGACTGCACAACGCAAGGCCATTTAGTTTGAACTGTTTCAAGATTTCCACTGCCCCATAGCACTTTAAAAGGCTGCCGTTCTTAATCTAACATCTAATTAATTATGAAGATTCCAGATGAAACTGCAACCCAGCTCCCTTGTTAGGGGAAGGGCCGGCTTTGATGTCTGCCATGAAGTGCTGCGCATGTTTCATCAGTCAGTGGAGGCAAATATTTTCTACGCTGTGATTTGCTGGGGAGGCAACGTGACATACAGAGACACTCGGCGGACGGACAAGCTGGTTAATAAGGCCGGCTCAGTGCTCAGCCTGGACATATCCGACAACCCCTTCACCACATCCTCGTGAAGCCAAAAAAGCAGCAGCAGCAGCGGACGCTTCATCTCACTTCGCTGCAGGACTGAGAGGTCCAGGAGATCTTTGGTCCCCACAGCCATCAGACCTCTGTCCTCTCTCTCTTTACCTACCCATCCTCCCCCACGGGTCTGTGCAATACTCTTTCAAGGCTGTTTTATTGGCACTTTTATTCGTCATCTTATTTGTTTATTTATTGTTTTTTTTTTAACTCATTGCTACTGTCTGTTTTTTTCTTTTGATCTATGCTTGTATGCTGCCAGTCTGAGCTAATGTATAGCTGAATTTCACACGGGGGATTAACAGTGTCTGCCTGTCTGTCTGTCTTGTTTGTGTCTTTTTTTAATTACATTTTTGTGCAATAATATTAACTTGAATGGCAAAGCAGTGTTATTATTAAACTATTCCCCCTGTATGAGCTCTTTCTGTTGGAGCACCGTTCTACTCACTTGTGTCAGTAACAGATCACTGTTAATGGTTAAAAGGGAACCATTTGAGTCTGACAGCAGTCTTACTTAATGTCACTGCAGTGACTTTGCTGGCAAAAACAACATAGTTCATACAGTAAACTGGATAACAACAAGTCATATCCCTTAATACCAAGAAAAGCCACAAAACAGCCTGAATCTGGATGCTATTTTCACATGAACTCCGTCCACACCAATGTTTTCTTTCTTCTTTTTAAAGATACTACTAAACTACTAACAAATTACACTAAATTCATAAGAAAGTATGCTAAGAGAAAGTGTCTCACTGAACTTGCTGATCGAGATGACGTCCCAAGGGGACATTATGATTTCGTTTGTTATTTCGAGTGTTTCTCTTGACCTTTGGCCGATCGAAACCTGTTAAAATTCCACCGTGTGAATTCAAAAAGGAAGAAAAAGGAAAAGACAGATTTTCTTTGTCCGACAACACTGGTGTTGTGTTTCGTACTGTGAGTGTGTCCTGAAGTCCCAGAGGCATTTAAAATGTGCTGCAGGTCTCCACTACAGTCAGCAGCAACACAGAGCGTTGGAGAAAAGTGCTCTGTAATGGCCGCTCGACTTTTCCCAAAGGAAGACTACTAATATACTAATGCACTGAGGATGACCCCTAAATACTGATTCATCTGTCTCTTTCACTGACAACCCAGCAGCCCTTACTGTCCTCTTCGTGTGTGTGTGTCTCCTTAGGGAGCAGACCAATGCAAAAAATCAATAAACACTGACCAACAGCTCACGCTCCCCATTTTAATCACTTCTCTCTCCCTCTCTCTCTCGCTCTCTCTCTCATCATCGCTCTTCTCATTTTCCCCTCCTGCCATCTTTATTCTCATCTTCCCTGCCTTCCTATCCTTGACCTGCTCTCTCCTCCTCTCGTCTACTTTTCTCTCCTGCCCCTGTTCTCGAAGGCATTCGTGGCACGTACTTGGCAGAGGAAATGACGTCACTGTGCTTGTCCGAGTCCAGGATCTTGGCGAGGTGGGAGGCCACGGAGTCAGCATACTGAGTGATGTGGGTCTGAGAGAGAGACAGAGAGAAGAGAGAGAGATGGGTTTGTTTCCGGGGCCATTTTAGTTGAAAGGGTCTAGTATAACCTCACGTAGGAATTATTCTTTGTTCAAGTTGCACTTGAAATTTCCTTTAATGGCACAACAGTCGTCCGCTGGAAATCACTGACCTTTAATGAGATTTAAATGCAGTTTACCGTTTGATAATTGGTTTTAATCAAAACATATTGTTTGTTACAAAAAACATGGTTAGTACTGAGCTGCATTTTGCCGTCACAACTGGAAACCAGATGTTATGTTGGTACTGATAAACACGGCATACTTTGTCAATTATGTAACCTAAAATTGAAAATAAAACACCCTTTGAATCTTTATATCAGCATTTCCCAACTTTTTTACCTATGACCCTTCAAAAGGAAGCACATATCACATATTTTAGTGAGATTAATTTTTTCTTCTCAGATTGTTTGATCAGAGCAATAACGCATTATTTTATTCAGCAGAAAGGTACTTTGTCTTCTCTCTATACTGTAAATCATCTTGAAACTCCTCAGGTTTAGGGTTCTGAAGCTCCACGATGGGATTTCCTAAGCGAGAATTAATAATCAAATGAGTCTCTGAGATACTATTCAATTCTTAGGTTATTTAGAAATGTGTTGCCTTGGTAGATAGACTTCATGTTGTGATTGTATGGTTTCTTTCCTGTTTATGAGCAAAAAACAAAGCTGATTGCTTTGGGTTCCAGCTACCAGGTTAAATTGATTATCAGCGCATGTTTTCCAAAATAATTTCTTGGAGCTAGTGAGATCTGGCTTTCTGCGGCTAATTTATGGATACCATCTGTCAAAAAGCAGGCAGCTTCCCAAATGTTCTGCAGAGTAATTTACCTGCAGAGGATAATCAAGGCAGTCGTCTTCTTTCACTATTGGCGTGCGTTTAGTGGTTGTGGGCACCTCGTACGTCATCACACTCCATCTAAAGACACACACACACACACACGCCGATGTCAAGCACCAGAAAACAAACTTTATTATCAGCTAATCAGATCAGGACGGGAGGAGACAGGGAATCGAATTTTCTATCTGTGATTGCATCGCTGAATATAAAAAAAAACAGCAGATCAACAAAAATCCACCGTGCTGAGGACAAATAAACCATTAAGCAGCTGCAGAACATGTGTAAACTTTCTGACCTATTTGAGTTATGTCCATTTTAATTAAAGAATTTTTGCCCAAAGGTTAGATTGATACTACTCTTTCATCTGTACGGTAATTATGAAGCTACAACCAGCAGCCAGTTAGCTTAGCACAAAGACTGGAATCAGGGGGAAAAACAGCTAGCCTGACAAAATTCGCCTACCAGCACATCTAAAGCTAACAAATTAACATTTTATAGCTCGTACACATGTTGAAGTGTACAAAACGACTAGGTGTGTTTTTTAAGTGCCAGGCTATTTCTTGGCAGGGAGTAGTAGCCTCTTCATGCTAAACTAAGCTAACCGGCTTCTGGCTTCAGTTTCATATTTAAAAACAGACTGACATGAGAGTGGTATTGTTCTTTCTCTCAGCAAGAAAGCAAAAAAATGTATTTCCCAAAATATCACACTATTCCTTTTACTAAGGTTTAGGTGCCTCAGACTGTTGCAGAATGAGGAAGATGATTTCGTAAGGCACTCAGTCACATTTTTACAGCAGCTATAAGCAATTCAGTCCTCAGTCCACCTGCAATGGACTTTGCTTGCAAGTCCAAGGAACATGACAAGAAGCTAAAGGAAAACAAAGCTAACATGCATGTGCAAACCTGGTTTGACACTGTTTTGTTGCCCCCCTCCACCCTCTTCTCCCTCTGGTCTTACCGGTCCAGCATTTTGGTGGTGGCTCTCTCCAGCTTCTCCAGGATCTGCAGCAGCTGAGCGTCATCGTCACAGAGGCCTCCCCAGCCCAGAACACGAGCCAGGTCGTTACCTGTGCCCAGAGGCAGCACACCGAGCTGGCACTGTGGAGAGAGAAGATAATCAATTTTCAACAGCACAAAATATTACAGAAATTATAATTAGTTTATAATCCGCAAAACAAATCAATTAAATCCCATTTTTAATCATAAAGCAGCAGAAGACAAATGATTTATGTTTGTAATAATATACCAGTCTCATCAGCTTAAATCACAAAGAGAGTCTGCAACGACTGAGAATTATCTGCACAAACCCAATTCTGGTGTTGGATATGGACTTTCTCTTTTCCGCCTCAGGAACCAACAAGACAAAATGTAGGGGTAAAATCAAATGCCCTAATAATTAAACATATAACCACACCTCTCCTCTCCCTTCCAAACACTAGCTACCCTCCAGGCAGTCAATGGACATAAAGTTGTTACTGTGATGTAGAGAAAGAGCTCAGTTAAAACTTTATGGATGAAAGATACATTTGTTACAGATTAATAACTAACCACTCTGAAACTCTTGCTCCAGTCCATGTTGCCAAGCTGGTCGCAACATGTACAGCTGAACCAAAGCCGTGTTTGCCGAACCGCCCTTCTCTGCTTCTGATTGGCTAGTAGTCCTTAACTAGGAACTGCGCATGTGCAACTCCCAACAAAGATCATTTAGAGACAAGATGTATCGCTCCATATCTAAAACGAAGCCTTCAACACAGGGTGAAAAGAGGAGCTGCAGAAATGTGCAGTATGACAAAAAATATGGTGTTTTTTGAAAATTAAACCATGTAAACTGGTACAACACCTAAATAGGATTTTGAACCTGAAAACGAGCATACCACCTCTTCAAAGAGTGCAGGATATTACACAGGAGTCATGTTTAGTCAGCATGACAGCATCCTTACACTGATGTTTAGGGACACAAATATGAAAAGATGCCCTCGACAGTTACACATTAAATTATTTCATCTTGGGTGTCAAGTGAATGAGACAACAGTAGTCAAGCAGTAAAGTGAAATACAGAAACCTTATTTCGACCAATAATTGAAGCTTGTGCCTTGAGTTATGAAAGGTAATGTGTCCCAAATGTCATCTTCAAGGACAAAATCAAACTGCAACATCTTGCATCATAAAGACTAATCTCTGATGGTGATTGCAGAAGCAAGCTCGTGTGTGGACAGAAACATCAGACTGGCTCGCCCTTGACATTAATGGGTCAACCTCTTTATTATTATTAAAATTATTCAAACTGATTTGACACAGCACTTACTTATCAAAATTAAAACACTAATTTAAAATTAAAAACCATGTTTTCCAACATGGTATTCATTAACTCGGATTAATTCCATGATGTTGACTAATTAGTTGAGGTAAGCAGCGTATCATTGGTAATTTTACCCATTGCCGCCCTCACTTTCTCTTCATATTAAGATAAAATGCATGAACCCAAACACAAAGAAACAGTCAAAAGCAATAAGCATATTATAAAGTGGTGAAGTGCTTAGAGATATCAGTTTCAGTCTTTCTGTATCAAATGTTAGTTTGTTCCAGGGAAGATGCTGAAATCTATCCAAAGTCTAGCCAGTGCCCTTTTAATGACGCCATCAATAACTGTTTGATTTAATACTCTGACATATCCAGTAATTGTATACTGGATATTTTTATCTTTTGATTAGTTGGAATGTTCTCTCTTTTTTAAGCCTCTACATGACAGAATTTGTGACACCAAAACCTGTTAAACAGTCCAGACCTCCTGTGATCTGTAGCGTCATCTTTCACACAGTAAATCATGGGACATTATCCTTCCCTGACATTCATTCTTTATTGTTCCATTTCCCTGTATTTCCTAATTCACTTCGGCTAGAGTTTGGTCAAAATATCAACAAAATGTACTCGCCAGATGTTCAAAACTACAGTGCATTTTTCAGATTCCATTTCAGGTTTCAGGAAAACGCACAGCACCAGTGAGCACAGTTAAAAAAAAAAAAATTTTTCTATCATATCAACATTAGTACAAGAGTCTGCTGCTTTTTCTTGCCCAGTGTTCTCTACAGTTACCTTCAGTATTACATCATTGTCCCCTCCTCCTCCTCCTCACCTGTTTATGGAGGTTGAGTTTATCCAGCTCTGAGAGCACCCAGCCCACGCTGCCGTCTCCTCCGCACACCAGGATACGAAACGTCACAAACTTCTGGAAAAGGCGTAGGCTGAGGGAGGAGAGGAGTGGGATGGGACAGGAGATGAGGAGAGAAAGAGGAGGAAGAAAAGCACTAAATGTTAAGAGGTAGATGTCATGAAAAGGCAGCGGAATTACAGCATCAGCACTTCCATTAAACCGGTCGTGGCGGACTGCAAACACCCACGAGTGAAGCAATACGAGAGTAAGAATACAGCCTGTTAACAAGAAAATCTAAGACTTTTCTACTTTGCTGTAACCTAACATAGAGGCGTATTATTTATTTTATTTTATTATTATTCTTAATTTTCCCCCATCAATCACCAATTTAGAATTACAATGATTCAAAAAAGTACCCGAGCTCTGGTCCTCCGTTCATCAGGTCAAAGACTTGCGCCGGGTTGAGAAGCTGCTTGAACTTGCGGAGGAACTTCACCCCCTGGTTGTCTCCACTTTTGGAGTTCACCAGGACCAGGAGAGGACTGGTGCACGACGCTGAGGCGGCCTTCCAGAAGCCTGAAAATAAGGTAATGTAAATGAATGTAAACATTTAACATTTAAGTCCATATGTTGGCACTCACACCAATCATGTTGAGAAAGCTGTGGATCCTGTATGCCAAGAAACTCGTGCAATTCAGGGGACAGACTTTATTTGTGTTAATGTCTAAGATATGTCTGAATAAGACAAATGCTGCCCTTTTTTTGGTAAATACGCTGCAAATATCCTTCTTTTCTTACAATTTCTAATAAAAAATGTTTGTCCAAGCATGCCAAAATTTTTATTTTTATTTACATGAATAATACAAGGTATAAAAACGATTTTCTTGAAATGCAACAGTAGGAACAGTCAAGCCCTCTGCATCCAAAGGATCGACACCACTGGAGTTAAAAGGTGACATTTGTGAACTTCGATCCTACTGTACATGCAATACTCTCCACCAGAGAGCCTGTATATGTGTCTCTGTATGTGTGTGTCTTACCATCCGAGTCGATGCTGTTAAGTGCAGTGGGAGGGATGATTGACACTCGATATTGACCCAAGGGACACACCTTCCCCATTTGTTCTTTACAGCTGTGTGGACCTGCGCGCACACATACACACAGAGTTAGTGGTCTCCATAGTAATTCTATATTTCAGTAGAAGCAGAAAGGTCATTACATTCCTCTGAAACCCACCAAATGTCAGTTCTGTAACCTTTACAAATACCACTCTGATTCGTTTGTGTGTTTCCCTGTGTGTGTGCTGAGGATTAATTTGCCCTAA